ACATCTTTCTCTTAAGTGCTCAGCGGTGAGTATTTTCTTCCCTGCCTGTTTAATTGGCTTTCCTGTGGTGTCTTTCTCAGAATTTATCAATTCAAATACAGAGCTATGATGACTTAGAGTGTAGTGGAACCCTGCTGCTGGGGGATGAGGGAGGACAGATATGCTCACGTCCTGTGTGGTTTGGTCTTTCTACATGTCTTTACTCAGCTTCACAGAACCAGGAATTATAGTTAGTGTCAGTCTTGGGCCGTTGAGATACCTCTGGCACATTGGGTTGGCCCACAGCAAATATTGTTAGAATGTGCCACCTTCACTCTATTACAACTAGCACTGTACCGCCCAAGTTCAAATGACTATCCTTCATAGACTTTTGTAGCCTAGGAGGTCTAGACTAGCTGGTCTACCTGGACCCATTCTGCCTCCCCACTATTTTTTTTCAAAGGATAAATATGATCATATCAACTGCTACCACTCCACCCTACTTAAAAATTTCAAAATGGCTTCTCATTGCTAAAAATCCTTGAAATGGCCCAAAAGGCCTTGCATGGTTCCATCCTCATCACTGAGTCCCTTGGGTTCTCCAATCACACTGACTTTATTCAGTTCCTATATTCACTCTGCTTGGCCTCACAGGGCCATTGCACATGTGGTTCTCACAGCCTATAAATCTCGGCTCAAGCATTATTTCTGAGATGCTTTCTTTGCCTCTACACTCCCTAGCTGGGCTATTCTCTTCCTTATAGATCCTCTTGGTACCAAATGCCTGCCCTTATACAACTTTCAGAGGGTTTGTTCTATATTTGTGCATCTTTTGATTAATATCTGCCTTGTCCTGGAGGCCTCTGGCAGTGCCCATCATTGTTTTGATTTACCTTGATATCTCCAGTGCCTAGCACAGTGCCTGGCTCTTAAGAGGTACTCAATGAATGTGTATAGCATGATTGAATGAATGAATGAAACTGAGTATAAATTTAATCAGAACATGGGCTGTACCTTGTCTTTTAGGGATTTACCTAGTTGACAAGAAATCTGAATGAATCTCTCTCTATTGGAGCAGCCGAGTAAAGGTGTATAATACTTACTACTCAGATGCCGGAAGGCTAGCAGCAGCCTGCAGCAGCCAACTACGTCCATTTCATTCTGTTTAAAATGAGGGACACCACTTATGACCATAGTTTTGGGTGGACGTAGAACAGTTTCTCAGGGGCTGCTGGAAGGTTATTCTGCTCTGTTATTGGGTTCACACTACGGGGCTTATATTTTTCTCAGAATGAAGGTGTGGATAGTTACTAGCAAGTGGTATACAAATGAACTTTGGTTGTTTCACTGCTCCATCCCAATTAGCTCCCCTACTTGTCCTTATTCTATCTGCCTAAGAAACATGAAATATCTCACTGGGGAAGAGAGATGCAATTCTTGGGCATATAGAGTATTTTGTGTGTGTGTGTGTGTGTGTGTGTTTTTTCCTGAACATTATTTCTTGTTTGCAAAGGAGAGAAGTAAACAGTTTTAACAGCAAAAAGGCATATTTTGAGCCTGTTGGCTGCCAGGGAAGGCAAGAGAAGAGAATTTTGAGGCGAATTTTTCTGGTCTCAGGTCGGAACATCTGCCTGTTTCTCGGGGGCAGATTTGGTTTAAGACCAAAACAAATAGCTCCTCTTCCCTGGATTCTGACCACTGGGGCATCACAAAGGAACTAAACTAGTCCAACTGCAACTGCTAGGGAAGTCATTGTTCTCTCCAACCTCAGGAGCCCCAAATAATTAGCTGTGCAAAGAGCAAGTTGGAATCAGAGGTCCCCTCCAGGGTGTTCTGTGTCCAGCCAAACAAAGCGTGCTGAGCTGAGAGACACATGCCCCATGGAAGAGAGGGGTGCCGAGTCTCCTTCCTCCTGCCTCACTTCAGTTCTGGTCCTCTAGATCTGTGTCCTCAACCTCCCTGTCTCTCCTAACACCCCCAGACCCCTCATTCTGTATAGCCAGAGGGAGTTGCCTTTTCATTGGAGAAGCCAGTGGGCCACTCTTAGGTGGAAGGCTGCTGTGTTTTAGAATTTGAGAAGGCTCGGGAGGAGCAGGTCGGCCTGTGGAAAGAAATCTCATTTCCTCCCAGATTTTCTGATGTTTTCAAAGAGAAACCAGAAATCTGGACTTCTGTGTGAAGTGGCCCAATTTTAAAATGTTTGTGGCATGTTTTGTTTTGTTTATAAATGATAGGCTGGCCAAAAGACACACACACACACACACACACACACACACACACACACACACACACTTACTTTTGTAAGTTTATGAGCTAGACCATAAACTTTATAAAGGTGCAGATTGTATGTATCCTGCTTGCGACTGTATCCCCAGCACCTAGTATAGTGCTTGCCACATAATAGAAACTCAATAGATCTTGACTGACATCCATAGGATTCTCATACTTGCTGATAGTCCCTTAATATTAGTAACAATAAAATACAACAACAATAATGATATCAACTGCTTTTTATGAAGCACATATTAAGCGCTTTCCATAAAATGTATTCTGTGCCCTTACCTTACAGCTGAATATTTTTATTATTCCCACTTTGCAAACAGAGACAGAAGCTCAGAGCCTTAAAAAAGATGACCAGAGTCAGTTGCTTAGCTAATGAGTGGGTCCTGAGGTTGCACTGCCTCCAAAGCCGGTGTTTGCAACCTTATTGCCCAGAACTCGGCTCTGCTGGTTCTGGCTGGAGGGAGCCAGGATGAGCCCTCCATGGGTTACCCCTCCCAAGGCGGAGACACCAAGCCTGACGTACTGTCTGTCTCCCATATTTAGTTTCCAGGACAGACATTTGAAAGGGTGGATATAGTAGGTGGGCATTCTTCTGCTCAGCGTTCATTCTCTCTTTCAGCTTTGAGCTGTGGAACTGTTCCTAGTTTCCCATCACCATCTCTTGATGGGGAATTACTCTGCAGGGGACTTGGATGAGTTGTGGTTGTCATGGTATCCTATAGTTTGGTATCCTAAAGTGATATGAAACATTCTATATCGGGCATTTTTCTAGGACTCAGGGGTACTTGGAACTGAGGTTCAAGGAGTCATTGTTTGGCTTCTTTAACTAAAAGCAAGAGTGGTGAGTCACCATCTGTAGAGGGTATAATTAGACCCATGGCTCCTAAAAAGCAGAGCACAGTGACCTGCTGGTCACCAACACATTTTTCTTGTGGTGAAAATACTTTATTACAAGTATTGAAGTGTTAAAGCATTTGTCTATGAGAGACACAGAAGCTTCATTTGACAAAGTTAGGGTAGCTTTCCACAATAGTTACCATTTGATGGACTTACATATGTTAATACTTCCTAGCTACTGGGGGATTCTTTTAATCAGGAGAAATGGGCAATGGGAATGAAGAATATAGGCCTTCAGAAAACCCAAATTACATGCTTGTGCCCTGCTTTCTACAGGGGCTACTTCGTAATGTCCCTTTTGATTTTTTTCAGGCTATCATCCTGGTTTGAAACCCTCTTACTCTTTGGTAAATTGTTCTGTAATAGAGGAATGTTTTGCAAACTGGACTATTGGTTTTGAGAAGTAAGGGGCAGCTTTTAAAGGAAATCTATAGTAATCATTTTCATAGCTCCACTTGCTGAGGCATCGTTTAAGGATTTTGTACTCATCCCCTCTTGGTCTTTCCAAAAACCATGTGAGACGGGCATTCTTATCCTCAGTCCTACAGAATGAGAAAACAGGCTCAGAGAAGCCAAACGACTTGCCTGAAGGTAAATAATAGCAATGCCTGGCTGTTGTTTCTAGTTCCATTTGTACATCTGGTTATTTTGGGAAGCTTTTCAACAATACAACTTCTCATTAGCTTGTGGCCTAATGTCTCAACCAAGGGGAAACCTGGGAATCTGTATTTTTTAAAGTTCCCTAGGTCATTGTGATATACAAGGTGTGATAAAAAAAATACAGTGAATGTCTAAATAAAAATATTATTATAGTAAAAGACACGTTGCCATTAATCCCCCTCAAAATATTCCCTCTTGCTTCAAACACACTTATCCCATTGTTCTTGCCACTTTCTGAAGCAGTTCTGGAAGTCCTCTTTCGTGAATGTCTTCAGTTGTGCTCTCGTGGCTGCCTCGGTGTCCTGAATCATTCTGACTTTGGGGAAGAGCCAGGAGTCACACGGTGCCAGATCCTGTGAATAAGATAGGTGAGGACACACCGTAATGTTTTTATTTGACAGATATTGCCGTGTGCCAGAAGCGATGTGTGACATGGAGCGTTGTCATCATGGAGGATGAAATCATTTGCCCATTTCTCAGGCTGTTTTCTACACACATCTTTTCTTAAATGCTCCTAAAGACACTCACAATAGAGGACTTCCAGAACTTCTTCAGAAAGTGGCAAGAATGATGGGATAAGTGTGTTCAAAGCAAAGGGGGGGTGTATTTCATGGGGGATTAATGGCAATGTGTCTTTTACTGTAATAAATTTTTTTATTTAAACATTCACTGTCTTGTTTGATCATACCTCGTATCTTTAAGACTTGGAAAAATTGCCATAGATTACATCATACATCACCCCATATCTTTTGAAATAAATCAAAGTACTAATTTAGTTTGGAGATGTCAGTGGTTGTTTTTTTTTTTTTTGATGTTTTTTTTCCTTTTTTGACAAAAACATCTTCACTTTTGCCTTGGGGGCTACAGGAAAGTCTTCTCAAAGGCGGTAACAGTTTGCTAGGTCCTAATGAATGGAAGAGAAGGGGGACAGAAAGGGCATCAAGTCAAGTCAAAGTGATCCACAGGTAGAAGTAACAGAGCTGCCCTGGACTGAAGTGCTTGGGGAATGGTACAGGGTCCATACATGTGGACAGATCGGGACAGATGTACGATATCTGTTATCAGCTGAGTCCAAGTGGAGCCTGTCTTGGAAGGTCCTACTGGCAAAGCAGCTGACCTGGCTTGAGCTGTGGAGCACAGAGTTTATCTTATTGATCGGTTTCCTCTGTGTTCTGCCCCAGGGCATCCTGAACTGTGTGCTTCCACCTGACCACTCGCTGCAAGATGATCAGGCAAGGTGCCGACAGCTCAGGTAGGGTTCCTGTCAACAAGTGCCTTCAACTCAATTGCGATAGGATGGGAGATGACAGTGGATAGAAAATAACTTGGTACAACCCAGTGGGTGTGGAAGCAGAAGTGTGAGGTGAAATTAGGACCTCTTTAACTCTTTTGAGGAGTCAGCTGTAAACCAGAAGTTTTTCCCCCTAGAAAGTTCCTGCAAAAGTATGTGGATTCTTGACCAAGAGGTCCATTTACTTTCTGTGGAAAAGTAAGTGGATAGTTTAGACCTAACAGCTCATCTTTTTCCACCAATTCCAGGCTGCCAAATACATATGTCCAAGGCGTTCCTTCTGGAATAATATTGATGAGATGCTTCAGTCTGAACTGAAGCGAGGGGGTGCAGTGAGTGTTTTCATGATGGTGATATAATGGGTGGGCCCCACAGTCAGGGCCACTGTGCCAGTTTTTTTTTTGAATCCTCTATTTTTTTCCTCCAGATACCATGAGTCACTTGACTATTATTCCTGGGAGGTGGTTGATGAATACTAAAGTCATGAACACAACCCCAAATAGCCATTTTCATCACTGTTTGCATTCATTTTCCAGAGCACAGTGGTTTTAAATTGCCTTTAGTTCTATTTACATGTTACAGAAAACTAGAGCCTGACAGTAAAGAGGTAAAAACAGATTTTATTGTGGAACAATTGCAATAGGGGAAAGGAAATCTCGGTATAGAATTGGGTGCAATTGTGAATGAAGCACAGACAAGTGGAGATTTAGAGTCAAGGAGAAGACTGGGTGTCAGTGGAAGGGAATTGCTAAGAGGATAGGGTAATTTTTAGTAAACTGTCTTGACAGGATTCTCACTGAATGTAGGTCAAGGGGGTCAGATATCAAGGGGAGGAATGAGGAAGTTGATCAGATATTGAGGATGATTAGATGTTGATGGTTTTTTTCTTTCCCCTGAACTGATTTAGCAAGATTCTTGCTGTGACTGGGCCATGCAGACCCCACAAGGATAGAAGCCAAGATAGAGGCCTAGAGATATGAAGAGGAACATGATTTAAGTTTAGTCAAGGAGATAGTCTTTGTTATAAGGACTGGCTTGGGTGGGGGGAATCACTGGGAAGGAAAGAATGGGAGTTTCAGTTTAGGAAGATGGAAAAAGTTCTAGAGATGGATGGTGGTGATGGTAGTACAATGTGAATGTACCTAACGCCACTGAACTGTACACTTAAAAATGGTTAAAATGGTGAACTCTATGTTCTGTGTATTTTACCATAATAAAAAAGCACAATCAGTGCATAATAAAATAGAGGCAACAATATTAGTAGCAATGATAATAGCCACTGTTTCTCCAGTTTTTGCTTTGTGGCAGGCATTGCGCTAAGCACTTTATAATGATTATCCACTCTTCCTTAAAAAGGAATTGGGGATCAGAGGGGTGAATGAATTGCCTAGGCTTGTGCAGCAGATAACTGGCAGTCTCACTGCAGAATTCTTCATGTTGGCTTATGCTCAGGCTCACCCAGCTCGCATGTCAGCCGTTTCGGTCTGAGGCTCCCCCACCTACCAATAAACATGAGCAGCAAACAACAAAAATGAGTCAAAATGACCAAAAATTCATCTTATCACATGAAAGCAACTCTGATATATGTGCTAATCGTTTAACAGCAAAAGGGTATGCTCTCACTCCTTGTCTCACAGTTGAACTGTCTGATCGCACAGAAGGATATTTTACTACTCCCTGGAAGGATAGTTAGCAAATGATTCCCCTTGTCTTTGACATGGGACTGTGAAAATGCCACCTTTCCCTTAGACTGGGAGCTCCTCAAGGACAGTCTCTTCCCAGTTGTCTTTCTTTTTTTAAAAAAATATAGTTGGCATGCAATATTAGTTTCAGGTGTACAACATAATGATTCGACATTTACATACCTTGCAAAGTGATTATCTCAAGTCTAGTACCCATCTGTCATAGTACAAAGTTATTACAATATTATTGATGATATTCCCTGTGCTGTACATTACATCCCTATGAATTATTTATTTTATAACTGGAAGCTTGTAAATCTTAATCCCTTTCACTTTTCCCACCCATCCCCCATGCCCTTCCCCTCTGGCAACCATCAGTTTGTTCTTTGTGTCTAAGAGTCTGTTTCTGTTTTGTTTCATTTGTTAATTTTCTTTTTGTAGAATCCTCAAATAAGTGAAATCATACAGTATTTGTCTTTCTTTGTCTCTCTTTATTTCACTTAGCATAATATCCTCTAGGTCCATCCATGTTGTCACAGGTGGTAAGATTTCATTCTTTTTTATGGCTGAGTAATATTACACTGTGCATATGTACCACATCTTCTTTATCCAGTTGTCTGTTGATGGGCACTTCTGTTGCTTTCATATCTTGGCTTTTGTAAATAATGCTATGATTAACATAAGAGTGCATATATCTTTTTGAATTAGTGTTTTGTTTTCTTTGGATAAATTCCCAGAAGTAGAATTGTTGTCATATGGTAGTTCTAGTTTTAATTTTTTGAAGAAACTGTATACTGTTTTCTGTAGTGGCTGCACCAGTTTACAATCCCACCAATGGTGCATGAGGTTTCTCTTTCTTTCACATCCTCGCCAACACTTGTTATTTGTAGACTTTTCTGGACAACAGCCATTTTGACATATGTGAGGTGATATCTCATTGTGGTTTTAATTTGCATCTCCCTGATGATTAGTGATGTTGAGCATCTTTTCATACTTGTTGCCCATCTGTATGTCCTCTTTCGAGAAATGTCTATTCAGGTACTCTGCCCATTTTAAAAAATCAGATTAGGTTATTTTCTTTTGATGTTGAGTTGTATGAATTCTATATATTTTGAATATTAATCCATTATTGGATTTTTTACTATTCATCTTTCTACAGGGCACATAACAGGTGCTCAATAAAATTTTTGTCAAAATGAACTTCCAGTGATGTTGAAGTGTCAGTGTAAGTTTTTCTAATAATTGTGAAGCACTATATCACTGCATGGTGCATTAATTTACTCTGGAACCTAAGTTCTGGAAGATATATTAGAGGTGATTGTTAACCAGGAATGATTTTGCCTCTAGACATTGCAAATGTCTACATACCTTTTCTTTTGGGTGTCATAATTTAGATGGAGAATGCTACTCCCATCTAGTCAGTAGAGGGCAGGGATGCTGGAAACATCTGAAGGGTAGCAGAAAATGCCACACTAAAATATGCTGCTCTGGCATAAGGATTATTTTGAGAAACTGTTGACACAGGAAAAGCTCTAAAAACAGAGTAGAAATTACCCTTTTGTACAGGACATTTATGTTAGATAGGGGGGATCTATCAGGAAGACAGAAATGACCAGAGAGAACTTTTTCACCAAGAGATTATCTGCACAACCTGGTAACCTTGGTTTACCAAATGTTTACCTTTCTCACTTCCTGTGAATGTCCTTGCCTACTTTGAGGCCCCAGGCCCTTATCCCTTTCCTTAACTCTGGGTGGTATGTAAGCCTCAGTGGTTGGACTGCCTTTGGAGTCTCCCAACTATGTGGGGCTTCTGTAAGTAAGTAAACATTTTTTTTTCCACCTATTAATCTGTCTTATGTCAATTTAATTCTTAGACCAGGCACAGAACCTAAAAGGTTTATAAGGAAAAATTTCCTCCCCTATACGTCCTACAATACATAGGACAGCTCCCACCACAAAGAATTATCTGGCTCTAAACGGCAATGCTGCTGAGGTGGACAAACTCTGCTTTAGAGGTTTTATTCACTTATTCATTCCTTCATACGTTCATTCCCTCATATGTTCATTTCACATGTGTGAACCAGGTCTCAGGGACAGTCCTTAAAGTGCACGAAGGTGGCCTCTTCCAGCGTATCACTGATTCAAATGCCATCTTTGTGGTCACAGTGAGCAGGTCCTCCCGAGAACAATAGAACTCTGAGCCTGTGCCTGGTGCTTGGATCTGATGGAAAGGGCAGTGATCTAAGACGGCTTGTTCAGGCTGCTGAAAGCTCCTGGGCTTGGACTGCATGAGCTCTTGCCTATTCTGCAGAGGCAGGGACCGTTTCCCAGGCTTCCTGTGTGTGCGACACTCTGTTACTGGGCCAGTCCCTCTTCACTGAACTGTAATACCGTCTCAGCTACCCTGTTTTCACAGCGCCCCTAGAAGCCATCTTACAGACTTTGTTGAAAGAATTATCATGTTCACACAGCTCTGTATTTGCAGCAGGCTTAGGCCTCTTTCAGATTTCAGCATTGGCGGTCTTTAATGCAATCTGCTTTTCAACACACATCACTTGCTTTCCCTCTCCCTGTCCTCTCCTGGTATGATGCCTTGCTGCCCTCTGATTCTGGTCTGTCTCCATGTGCAGAGAACCTGCAGCCAAGATTAGCAGGTGCTATATAACTCTCAAGATGGTAGAGTTGGTGGATTTTAATCAGGTGAGTGCAATTTAATGCAAATTCTCCTTTACCGGCGGAGGCTCATAAACTGGGCTACTCAATGTTATGGTCCCAAACATTAGTTCAATGCTTATGGCTTTCATAAGTGCCTTTCCTTTGGGGTTAGTTTAAGGGAAAATCAATAACAAGCAGCTGGAAATGCAGAAAGGAACTGTGTACTTATGCTCCCTCATGATGTAGCTCTGTTCCCACCCAGCACCATCTCACACTTATCTTTTTTGTTGTTTTTCCCCCAGCTCATTTTTTTCCCTTTTTGTCATATTTAGGGCTTCACAGTGATATGAAAAGCCACCCTGGCTTCTCCATCCATTAAATGGGAAATACATATGAACAAATAGAAGAATCGTGCCATATAATACAGTTGAAATACAATGTTATCAGCATCCCACTCTGAGCATTTCTCAGGATGGTTTATGTCCCAGCAGTTAATCGTTTGCTATTGTTGGTGTACAAACACAATGCTATTAGCAACACAGAATTTTCAGGCTTTCTGTTTAGATTGTCTTCATGTAGGCTAGCCAGAATTTAGATATTTGTAAATGGAATTAGAACAGTGGC